AGCAGCAGATCCGGTAGTCGTTGTTTTTTGCCCGGTTCAACTTCCGCGTTACGTATATCCCGAGCAGCCTCAATCAGAGGGTAGACGCCCTATCCTGCAAGCTGGAATACTTTTGCCCCAAGGACTCCCTTCCCTCCCCAGTCCAGGAACCGGTGGACCTGCGGGCTCAGGTGCTGGAAGTGCAACGCCGGGATGACTGGTTGCAGCAGCAGAAAGCGGAAGTTGGCCCCGCGTCCCCATGGATCTTGGAGGAGGGCTTGCTCAAGCACCGGGGTCGGCTGTCCGTCACCTGAAACGTAAACCATCGTTTAACCCCGATGGACCAACAGCTGCAGCAGCAGTTACAGCAGCTGCAAGATGCCAACCAGCTCCTGCAGCAGCAAGTGGCCCAGTTAACTGCCCAACTTGCTTTGGGGAATGCTTCTGCAGCTCTCCCTCCTCCTCCTCCTCCTCCCCGCTCGAGATGCCCAGTGAACTTGCCAGAGAGGTTTTCTGGGCAGCCGGAAATGTTTTCGGCTTTCATGGGGCAATGCCAACTCTTCATGGCAATGAGGCCGGAGGATTTTCCGGATGACCGGGCTCGGGTGGTATTCACGATCAGCTTCCTTTCCAGCTCTGCCGCCTGATGGGTCACGTCCCTGTTGCTGCAAAATAGCCCCTTGCTCCTGGACTATCAGGGTCTCGGCAAGTCCACCCAACTGCACTGGAAACAAGCCACCACCAGAACGGAATAAAGCGGTTGCAATTTCTTTAATTAGGTTCGGCACAGCAAACACAGGCAGGAGAAAGGCACAAGCCAGAAACAAGGTTTAAAGTTAGCGCTACACGCAATCGCAGTGTAGCGCCTTTTATATACGCAGCAATAAATCAATTTGCAATCAAACAGTCAACATCATCCCTCCTTCCCCTAGACCAGACGCCAAGCGGCTGAATTTTTTTTAAATTTGATTTATATGCCGCCCTTCTCCGGAGATTCAGGGCGGCTTACAATGCGCTAAGCATTTTGATCATGTGACTGCAATAGCCGTGTGAAATACAATCATGAGTCACTTTTTTCAGTGCCGCTGTAACTCTGAACAGCCATTAAATTAACTGTTGTACGTCGAGGACTACCTGTATTCTCGTGTCCTCTAATGTCCAATGTTTAAAGTCATTTTATCAGTTTCCAAATATAAACATATAGGGTACATTTCTCACGGGAAGGATCAATTTGATTTCAAAGTTAATTTCTTATAGCCAATTTCAGAGTTCTGATTCACATCTATTTGAATGCTTAATTTTTTAAAATTAAATTTATATGCTGCCCATCTTGCTATTCAAAGCAATTCTGGGCAGTTTAATCCATTTAAAACTTTATAAAATCAGTTCTATAATTATCCTTTGCTATAAATTTAAAAAATTCTTGCAAAATCTTAAATTTGTAATAAAAAAAAATTCAAAAAAAGATTTTAAAAAAGAGCCTTGATAGTACAGTGGTTTAGTGCACCCTGTTATTAACACAGCTGCCTGCAATTTCTGCTGGTTCGAATCTCTCCAAGGCTCAAGGTTGACTCAGCCTTCCATCCTTTCTAAGGTAGGTGAAATGAGGACCCAGTTTGTGGGGGCAATAAGCTGACTTTGTATAAAATATACAAAAGAATGAAGGCTATTGCTTAACGCATTGTAAGCCGCCCTGAGTCTCCGGAGAAGGGCGGCATATAAATCAAATTAAAAAAAAAAAAAAAAGACCTCACCCAACAAATATAACTGATTTAAAGTTCTGAAAGCTGTTAATCTTTAAAAAACAATAGGAAAAAAAAGTAAGCTTCAAATTATTTAATACCGAGGTATGGTAAAACCATAAGCCCACATAAAAAGTACTTTCCCTCAGGTTTCTTTTTATTATTTTTAATTTCTCTAAATCCAGTTGTAAAATTTTCTTTCTTGGGCTTTGGTATTTTAACCTCCTCTTTGTTTGTCTCCCTCCATTAACTTTCCCAAGTGCCAATTAGCTGCTCATTTCCGCTCTGGGATACCTTTTAAAGTTATTAAAATTTCTATTTTTTACCTGTGAGTTGGCCAATCACTCACCAGGTACCAGCACTCCGTTCAGATACCGCTCCTGCACAAAAAACGTAGTCTGGTTGCCCCAGCTTCAGAGTGGTCATTTTCAATGGCTGCCATCCCCGCCGCCGGTTCGAAGAGCAGCCTCCAACCTTTCAAGGAACTTGCCTGTTCTTCTTCGTCTTCCGAGGCACCTCTCCTTCTTCACCATCCCTACAGGACGTTTCCGGTCCGAAGACACCCCTCCCCCGACAGCGGTTTTGTCTGGCTGGATTTTCGTGGAGCTTGTCGGAGCCTGCTATTTTTCCAGCCGGTCTCAACCATGGCCTGCATGACTGAGAAGCTCTATAGATTCCCACTGTGCCATTCTTCATTGGAAGCTTATCCATGCTTTACAGGAATTCAACCAGACCCTTAATGTGTTATGTGAACCAGACTAACTGGTTGTTAATAAGGTTTTATCTGGGAGTAGTATGTTATGTCAAACCAGCAATTAGGGATTGAAGGTTTCACTCAGTGTTGAGTGTCTCGTCACTGTTGATCCAAGTGGCACAGGAAATGTACAGTGCCTAAAAGAGATGGCTGGGCAGATGACAGCCCCCCTCAAAGTGCAACTCCAGCATTTCCCCTCCCAGGAGATTAGCTGCAGAGGAAGCAGCTCCAATGCACCAGAAAGTTGCAAAAAAAGTCATTAATGGGCACCAAGAGATGAGGTGCAATGACTAGATGCCACCAGCAGGTGGAAGTAGATTTGAGACAGTACAATATTTGAAAAATGTCTGCACAGATGAATATCGTATAAAAGCAAAGGTGAGTGTGTTAGAGACCCTTAAACGAAGTAAGATACAAACTTTCACAAATCAGTTGTGTCTTTATTAGGACCAACCTGTGCCCCAAACCAGGAATCCAGAACTCTTTACGAGGCAGGGTGGAGGTTGCAGACAAAGATTGTATCGCATCAAGCCATGGCATTTTACAGTCAAAGCCACAATCCCAATTCTTCAGAAGTGATGCCACTCTCCCGGGAGCTGCCCTTGCCCTGCTGGATGGGCATCGCTTGCAGAAAGCGCCACTTGGCCCTGTTGCACCTGGTGGGAGGGACTGCCAGGCCCAGCGCTTGCTTGGAGCACAAGAGATGCCAAGGCTCCAGGGCACCGCTCGTCTTGGTGCTTCTGGACCTGTGAACTTCTGGACAGGGACGCCCGTGGTGCCCTGGGCACCTCCTGAAACACTCCTTTTCCCCAATTTCTGACATCCACATTGAAAGGGGCATTCCCCACAGACCTCTTTTCATGATTAGATTGTTTTAATGGCTAAAAGTGGAGATTACAGGTTCAGTTCCTGCCCTGGCCAAGCAAGCCAGCTGGGAGGCTTTGTCCCCCTCCACACTCCCCCCAGATGTATTATGGGGGAAATGTGAGAAGAAAAGTGTGTTGGATATCTTTGCCCCTTATTTGTAAAAATAACAAAAGTGGGACACAAAGATTTAAAAAAGCTTTTATGTACTTTGGTGTGTCTTGCATTAGAATTCTGAATTGGCGTCTGAGGAAAACAATAGCTCCCCTATTTTACCTGCAGCTACTGAAGAAGCGGTGGCTCAGTGGCTAAGAGGCTGAACTTGTTGAGTGAAAGGTCGGCAAAAAATGCCAGTAGAAAAATAGGGGCCGCCTTTGGTGGGAAGGGAAGAGCGTTCCGTGCGCCTTTGGCGTTGAGTCATGCCGGCCACTCGACCACGGAGACGTCTTCGGACAGCGCTGGCTCTTCGGCTTTCAAACGGAGATGAGCACCGCCCCCTAGAGTCGGGAACGACTAGCACGTATGTGCGAGGGGAACCTTTACTGAAGAAGCGGCTTATAAAGGGGGGTCAGGATTTGCAGGCACTGGGCGGGGCCTGGATTATGAGGCCCCGCCCACCCCGCACCTGCAGGAGACCGACGGACGGACCTCCTTCCCCCAAAGTTTTGGAAAGTGTTTTAGGCGCGTCTGAAGCGCCTTCCGACAGAAAATGCCCGTCGCTTTCCTTGGGCCGCCCGGCATTGCGTCTCTTCCTGCGCCTCAGAAACACCGCACCGTCCGTCTCCCTCCCCCCCCCAAAAACCCCCCCCCCCCCCCCCCCCCCCCCCCCCCAAAAACCCCCCCTGCCCTACTCGAAGTCCCAAGAAACTCGGGGCTGCATCGCAGACAAAAAGCGGCCGAAGCGCCGGCTGGACAGACGGCGGCCAGAGCAGCGCCACCCCTTCCGCGCGGCCTCCCCTCGTCTTCGGGCTCCAGAGCCCCGGGGGACAAACGGGGGACCGGGCGGTCTCCTCGGCCGAGACGGAGCTGGCGGAGTCCGCGGGGCGAGGCGAAACCCAGCCGCTGCCTCGGTGCCCCCCCCCCGGCCGTCCCCTCCGCTTTCCCTCGCCAGGCCGGAGCTCGCCAGCAGCCCTCGGGCCGGAGTCGGCGGCGTCGCGGGACCCCGCGCGGCTTGCAGCTCGCCGCCTCCGCTGGAAAGGCGCGCGCTCCGGAGCCTGGGAGGAGTCGTCGTCGCCCGCCCCGCCGCTCTCTCCAGCCGGCCAGCCAGGAGCCGCCGCGGCCGCGCCCTCCACGCCGACGGCCGGCTCGCAGGGGCGGGGAGAAGGGGCGGGGAGGGAGGGAGGGAGTGGACCTCGCCGCGCCGCCTCTCCACAAAAGAGCCCAGGCCTGGCCCGGCGGCTTGGAGCGCTGGCGGCCCGGCGGGGCTCTTTGTTCGCCGGTCGGGCGGCCCGGGAGCAGCAGGCGCCGCGGGCGGGCGGCCAGGCGGGCCGGAGTGCGGCGGGGCCGTGGGCGGCCCAGAGCAGGAGAGACCCGCGGCCGGCGGGCATGAAGGGGCGGCGGGGCGCCGTGCCCCGCTCCGCCGTCCTCCAGCAGCGCCCTCCGCAGTGAGGCTGGGCGTGGGCGGCGGCGGCGGCGGCGGCGGCGGCGGCTCCTCTTCCTCCTGCTGCGGTCCATGGCGGCGGCGCCCGGGCGGGGATGGCGGGGCCGGCGGGCGTAGGCAGCCCCCCGGGCGGCATGGCGGAGTGGCGGCAGTGCGGGCGCTGGCTGATCGACTGCAAGGTGCTGCCCGCCAACCACCGCGTGGTCTGGCCCTCGGCCGTGGTCTTCGAGCTGGCGCAGGCGCTGCGGGACGGCGTGCTGCTCTGCCAGCTGCTGCACAACCTCTCGCCCGGCTCCGTCGACCTCAAGGACATCAACTTCCGTCCGCAGATGTCGCAGGTAGGGGCGCTCCGGCCGCCGCCCTCCCCCCCCGCCCCGTCCGCCTTCTCCGGAGCCTCCCCTCCTTCCCACCCGCCCGGCCCGAGCGAGAGGAGCGCGGGGAACCCACCTCTGTCCCGCAGGCGCCTCCGCGCGGGGTCCGGGAAAGGCGTCCCGAGGGTCCCCGGGCCGAGAAGCACCTGCCGGGGTTTCGACCCGCGGTGGCTCCTTGGACGTCGGGCCCCGAGTGAGGAGGCTTCGTCGCCAGCCGTCCGCTGCTCTCCCCGCAGGGCTCGGGTTCGCCGGCCGAAAACAGTTTTTGGTGGGGGTTGCATCTCCCTTTAGGGGCACAGATTCCGGGTGCCTTTAACGGGGCTCTCCACCCTGGACTGTTTCACAGAGGGAGACTCCAGGGAGGGCTGGGCTGATGGGCTGTGTAGTCCTGGTTGGGAGGAGGATACCGGGTGAAGGTTGGGGGGGGGGGACGGGGCGCTGCTCCCCAGAGCACAAATCTGAACCTTAATCAAGGTTTAGTGAAGCAGATTTTGCGATGATGACTGATTTCTGGCAAGACAGGATGTGATGGGGAAAGGCCCTTGTGTCTCGGGGGGGGGGGGGTCTCTGCTGTGGGCCTAGGAGCAGCTGCATTTGTGCCCTGGACTGTGGACTGGCAAGGGGGAAGTGAAGGTCATCCTGTGCTTTAAAAATGTGTTCCTTTATGACTGTGCTGTGCAGATAAATCCTGCTATTCATTCCCTTTGCTTCTGAAGTGAATCTAATCGCTGGACAAGACCTTCAGCCTGGCAGAAAGGAAGGCCAGGAGTGGTCACTCTCCCCTCTAAATCAGTCCTGCTTCTGGGGAAGAACTGGCCCTTCCTGGGAGGGTGGAGGCTTCTTGCCTAGGGTGGCACTTTCAGGAACACTGCAGGATGGGAGTCATTGCTGGGCTGCCCCCCTTCGAGCTACCCAGAGAGGCAGGGATGGTGAGTGAGCCCCAGAGTCAGATCTCCTTGGCAGCAGCTGATGGACTCTGCCTGGTTTGTGTGGTGTTGTAATATTTGAGCAAGCCTTCCCGATTGACAACTGCCTTGGAGCCAAAGGTGGGTGCAGAATTGCCCGAGGGGGATGGCAGCCCTGGCAGGGTGGCAAAGGACCCTCATGTCTGTGTTTGCTGCGCTTCTCGTGCACCGGTTGGCTTAACGCTCTTCTTCGCAGATGCCGTCCTTGGTCAGCTTCCTGCTCTGCCAAGCGGATGTGGCAACCTCCCCTCCCACCCCTCAACCAAAGAGGGATTCCTATTTTAAAGAAAGTGAGGGGTGGGTGGGGGTGGAGAAGGACACTCCCGAGGCTGTCAGCTGTAAAATAACTCCCCTCCCCCCTTGCACTGGAATGAATCCAGGATGAAACTTTTAAGCATTAACTTTATCAGGCTGACAAAGGTTTATAGAATTTTTAATTTCCTAGAATTTCCCTAGAAATTAAAAATGGAGAAATCAAAGAAATTGCGATTGGTGTTTAGACCGGTCCCTCTGCCCTTCTTCAACCCAAAGGCCCTTCAAGCCCACTCAAAAACTTTGCCACTCAGTTCACTGACAAGATTCAACTTCTTGGCCATCCGGTCTGGTAAAGCTGCTGGGTTCTCAGCCACCAAAATGATGAAATCTGGGTGACTTCTCCTCCTTTTTTCTCCCTGTGGGAAGCTTGAGTTTTTCTCAGTCCTGGCAAAGGGGCATCCGTGGACCCCTCCAGACCTGGGAATTGGCCCTGGAGCTTCAGATGGGGCAACAGCCTCCTTGCCGTTTCCACAGTTCTGTGTACTTTTCCTTCGAAAGGGCTGCAGAGCAGAATCCTGCTGCACAAGGCATCCCTACTGCCCACAAGGTTTTGTGAAACCATAAAAATGCCCAGGGGGGAGGGGGCATCTGCAGGAGTTCCACAGAAAAAGGGCATAAATCTGTGAGAAGACAGCCCCGCCAGTGGAAGAACTGCCCCTTTGCGACAGACTGGGGGTCCCAAGATGTCCTGGAAGCATTTGGGGCCCCTTTCTTCTCCCCAAGGCTGGCTCTTACTTGTGTGGGGAGCTTCTGCCTCATTTCTCAGGCTGACTGTTCCCCCCCCCCCTTTTTTTTTTAACTATGGCGCTTGGCTGGGGTGTGTGTCTGTGTGGTCTGTGTGTGTGTCTGTCGCTCTTTCCATGCCATCTGTCAAAAATGGTGGGTGTGCTTGGGTGGGGGGTTGGACTAGATGACCTACAAGGTCCCTTCTTAATCTATTAATCTGTATCTGTGCAACTAGGCGAACCCTTTGGCCTCATCCCTCGCCTGATGCCTGCAGTGAGCGAGAGCCTTTGCTGTTGTGGGCAGCCATGGAATCCTTTGTGTGAATGCCGATACTTTTCTGTGGCTGTGTGTGTGTGTAAAAGCCCATTCCTTTTGAACTCCTTGTAGGTTGGGGGGAGGGGTGAGTCACTGATGTTGTAGATCACAATATTGAAATTTGGAGCAAAGTGGTAGATTTTAAGAGCCTTTCCTCCTCTTCAGTTAAGCTTGAACCTTTAATGCACCATAAAGTGCGGGTGGAGCACTCCCCCCCCCCCTCGGATTCTGCATTCCTTGCACTTCTCTGGCTGGAAGTAGCAATAAGGACGAAACCACCAGCACCGCCACAGTCTTTGTATAAGTGCAGCCGCACAGCTGAAGAACACAGAGCCCCCCAGGAGCGAAGGAGCTTGTCAGGAGATTTTCCCCTTCCTGCTGAGGGTTAAGCCAGGAGGGCTGCTGTGTTCATGGCTGGCCGGGCAGGGAAACCGGCTGCTGCCCTGATTAAAGTGTCATCAATAAATAATGGCTGGCCTGCTGCTGGGCTCCCAGATCCATCCCGACTGGCTGAGAACCCTCCTAATCCCCACAGAGCTGGGGGGCAAAGCGGGGGGGGGGGATCCTTGCTTGGAGGAGGCTGCTGAATGCTGCCCTCAAAGCGAAGGGGCTTCCAGGAAGGCTGTGAACGTCCCTGGCCCGGAAGCTCCAAATTCTCCTTGGCTTCTGGCAGCTGGCTTGGGCTCCTCCACTCCCTGCTGCAGACTCACTTTCTTCTTTTTTAGCCAGGACTCGGTGACCCAAAGGAAGAGCTAACCGAGCCCACTGTCAAAAATGTGTGACTCCATCACTGCATTTATAAATTTAAAACATTGACAAAGATCTGCATATTTTATGCGTGCCAGGCTCTGACACACAAAGGGAAGCGAGTACTAGAAGGTCTGCAGATGTCTTGAAAAAGAAGGTGGAATTATTAAGCTTTTGGGAGTCAAAACCCCTTGGAGACCGAAAGTTTCTCTAAACCTTCATTTGCTTGGCTCTGGCTCTGCCCTCCCTATTACATGCGTAGGCGTTCTTCCCTCTCCTCCGAACTCCTCCCTCCTCTTCCTCCACCCCCTCCATCTTCTCTTTGTTGAAGTTTAGATTTGACAGTCATATTCTGACTATGCCGGGCATTGCGCAGAGCCCCTCCTCTGTGGGATTTCGACCACCATCGGTTGACTGGAAGGGTAGTTTCCAGAGAGCTTTGTAGAGAAGGGCGAGCAACAAACCGGGCAAAACTAGGCTGTCCCTGTTCCAAAATGGGCTGGTTTTGCATTCACACCATTTGCACCAAATGCAGCACATGGCAGGGATGCCACTAAGGCTCATAGCCTCGCCTGCACCTTCTGCATATTATCGTACTAAAAAGTGTTCTGGAAGAAGCACTGGAGGCCAATATCTGGTGGTGCCCTTGGCATAGGGAAGATTGTAGCTTGGGGTGTAAGAGGAGGAAATGATAATTAGCATGCATTCATGAGCAAAATAAAGAAACTCGGCTACAGATAGTTGTTGTGAAACCAAGAAAAAGATGGAGAGGCTGCAAGGGCCGGGAACCAAAAAGATATGTTGTAAGTGAGATGAATGCCTGCCTGGAGGTGAAGAATCAGGTTTAATTTTGAATGAAATAGGATGAGTTGGGTGAATTTGGGGCTTTTGGGGTGCTTGCGAAAAAGCAAGAATTCATACCTTAGGAATTTTACATTGCAGTGAATATAGTGATCACGGAAGATTTGAATTCCAGTTTTGGAAACCTTTATAAAATGTTCTGAAAGAATGACATGATGGATGGATGGATGGATGGGAATGAGAGGAAGGAGGACAGAAAAACTATTTAAGAATGAAAGAGAGCGGGGACTCTGCTGAGGGAAGAAAGCCTAACCTGTGGACTACAGATATATAAATAAACGTCTCATTTAAGCATAAATCTGTACCTGCATTTACATGCAGGACATGTATTGAAAAGCATGAATGGGTTGCTAATGTGGAAGATCAGAGATTAACAGATTAACAGAGTTGGAAGGGATCTTGTAGGTATCTAGTCCAAACCCTCCCAGCAGGAGACCCTGCCTACACCATTTCTGACAGATTGTCAGCCCAGTCTCTTGTTGGAAGCTTCCAGTAATGAAGCTTCTACAACTTCTGAAGGCAACTTCTGTTCCATGGGTTGATTGCTCTCACTGTCAGAAAATTTCTCCTTATTTCCAGGTTGAATCTCTCCTGGCTCAGTTTCCATTCATTGTTCCATGTCTGGCCCTCAGATATTGGAAGATGCTATCCTGTCTCTCCTGGCCTTCTCTTCACTAGACTAGCCATGCCCAGTTCCTGCAACTCTTCATCACATGTTTTAGCCTCCAGTCCCCTCATTATCCTGCTTGCTCTTCTCTGCACTCTTTCTAGAGCAGTGATGGCTAACCTTTTTGCCATCGCGTGCCAGGAGAAGGGGGGGCGGGGGAGGGTCGCGTGCGCACGTGCATGCGTGCGCAACCCCCTTCCCCCTCCCCCCCCGCTCCTGGCACATGATGGCCTGGTAGGCCCGTTTTTCTTTCTTACCTGGTTCTAGATCCTCTCTGTGTATCTGGGAAGGGGTATAGTATAGTTTATTGAATAGCCCAAAGGCCTTTTCAAACAAAACAGAAAAGAAAAAGGGAAAAAGATAAAACAGTT